AACGACTGAAGCTGCAGAAGCACGGGCACAGAAGCGTGAGTGCTCTGATACCATGTGAAAATGAAACGAGGAATGAGTACGAGCCATAGCTAGGTAAGCCCTAGCTAGGCAAGAGAGAATAAGCAAAGGAGGATGTTCACTAGAAAGCAGCAGGATACATATAGGAAACCCTAGGGGGTTGTACTCGCTATAGAGTACCCCACTGCAGGCTAGAGAACAATAACATTCTGACAATTGCCCTCCATCAGCTATGGGCGGAAAGGTGCGAAAGGGCCTTTCGAGGCTGTAAATTCCGCACGCGAAGGGTATTGCGGAGAATTGAGTCGGCCCTCCGCATGCAAGTGAACGTTTACCTGCGTGCTTCTGCGACAAGGATGCAGCAGCGTGGGAAGGAACAGCAAGACAGGTGGCGGAAAATGACAGTGCAAGAGCGTGATCTTCTGAACCGTATCAGAGTGGTGGATGGCAAAGGTTGGAAGTGGTCCAACAGCTTCGCAGCAGTTTGGGGTAAACCTCGCAGGCCCCGGATCCATGCTTGAGGATCAAATATTCTGAGGCGGTCTCCCCTGTCTCTCATGCACAGTTACGACTGTTTATGCGTTGTACACTTGTGTTCTGGTGTATAATTCATATAAGCAAAAAAAAAAAAAAAAAAAAAAAAGTTGAGTAAAAGCACCCACCCGCATCACGCATAACGCATGTCCACGAATATGTCCAGCATCTGTGGTGTGTGGAGAGCTCCCTTTAGGGGGTGTGTCTTTTGGTGTAGACGTCAGGAAAAAAAGGTCTCTTTTCGCTGGTAACATTTTTCGTTTATTTCGTTTACCAATGTTCGTGTGTCCATGTAAAAAGTTTGAGAAAACAGGACACTGAACTGGGGTCGACCTCGCTTTCGATTTTTCCGTCCACGTTTTTTCAATCGTGTGTTCCTCTGCTCACCCAAGAAGCAGCAGCGAGACTTGCGACATACACGAACTGCCTCGTAACGAGTTACCGAAGTCGGATTCGGTCACGAACTTCTTTATATAGACCAAGTAACCTACGAAACGTAGGCGCGACTCGGGATTTACTGTATAAATTCGACCTTCGACAGTCAAACTTTGTTGGTCCATGTGCTTGATGTGAAAAAAGAAGGAAAATATAAGAAGGGAAAAGGGAAACTGTATCCCAGATCCTTAGTTTCAGGTTTCTCTCATATTTAGCCCCAGGTTTACTCAAAAAGTACTACTTTCTGGAATTTCGCTCACGGGAGCCCAAAGTATGTTCAAAACTGGTCCTGTTGGGCGAAGTTTTCGACAAGTGTCCTCTTGTTATACCATCTGACACACTTCCCCTTCTGAACAAACCGTTTCTGGCCTTTTCTGCCCACCCACTGCTTCTTCCAGTGGGCTCGAGATTGAGGGCTGGCACTGCTGTAGATTCGCCTTGCTGGCAATAATACTGTGCTGGAACTGTTGTGGAGCTCTCCCCACCCTGAATGCGAATGTAAACGCGCCCCAGTCCAACCCAGGCCATCAACCCAACCTGCCTCACCCTTCCCAATCACTCACGATCGTCAATCCCTTAGCTTACTCAGTGAGATCCCAAGTTAGGGTTTCCAATAGCGACATCTACCCAAGCCGATTAATAGCACCTATATGTAGTTGATCTCCAATGTTGCGATGGATAGGAATCTACGCACGGAAGCGGTGCAGACGAAGATCGACATTGGGGCCGCAATCCTCCACATGCTCAACGTTTTCATACCATAAACTCCGCAAAACTTGTGAGTTGCATGCATACATTCATTTACAGCCATTAGCCCCGTAGGCCCAGCGCACATGCTGCCAGGGTCCGTGGCGCTAACGGCCGTGCGCCAATGCGCCTGGCGCTAATGCGCCTGGCGCAAATGCCCTTGGCGCCAATGCGCCTGGCGCCGATGCGCTCGGTGCCAATGTGCCTGGCGCAAATGCCCTTGGCGCTAATGCGCCTGGCGCCAATGCGCCTAGCGCCAATGCGCCTGGCGCCAATGCGCTCGGCGCCAATGCGCGTGGCGCAAATGCCCTTGGCGCTAATGCGCTTGGCGCCGATGCGCCTGGCGCCGATGCGTCATATCCCAGAACCTTGCCCTCCCAATCGACCTAGGTTTTAGTCTCCCCGTCCATCACAGCTTGCTATTGGCCAGCATGACCATCTATACGACTCGACTCTGGCCTGCATCCCTCTCCACTCATTTCACAACTTACCCTGCCCTGCCTGCAATCTCTCCCTGCCATTCCCTTAGCTGGTTATTAAACAGGTCCTGCACATCAATGCCAGTCTCTCCAAACCGTGCTGTCATGTCGCTATTCGGTTGTGGCTCTAAACCTCGAAACCGAAATGTTTCAAGGGGTTGGTTTAAAGTAATGACACCTTTGGACTACGTGAAGTTTAGTAGCTATATAACTATTCGTTTGAGATTTTATTCTACGGCTAGCACTCTCTTGCGATATGACTGCCACTCATCATCCTTACCTTACGTGATTTAATCTCAAGCGGCACCCTGTTTTCCAGCACTGGACTTATAGTATCACGCTCCCGTCTCATGCTGCTCTCGCTTGGTTGCTTTTATGGCCCACCACCCACCAGTATCCTTGGTACCTCCATTCCACTCGCTAACGCTCGCTTCCCTCTCATATTGCGTCCCACTATCCCTCACGTTTGCCCCTGTTGAGTGAATCTCAGCAATGGTTTATTTGCGCAGGGGCTTACAGAAACTGATTTTGCAGTGGGGACGGTCTTCCAATCTGTTGAAGGAGCTCGTGAAGCAATCAAAAGGTATGCGCGCCAGAAGAAACGGGGCATATATTGGGCGCACAATGACGCTGAGCGGCTTGATGCGCGCTGTCCGTCCATGGAAGGACGACCATGGCCAGAGAAAGGAGCCGAGCATCCCCCTGACGGATGTCCGTTTCGCATATTTGCAAGGGGTCCCCGTGGTTGCCAATTCCAAGTCAGAGAGGCCTGCCTGCAGCATCTCACAAGGTGCACCGTTAACACCGGAAGGGTGCGAAGAACAGAGGTAAAAGAGATTGCTCGAGCCTACATGCCATTCGGGGATCTAAGGCCACATGGGCTTCGTAACCTTGTGCAAGAGCACCTTGGAACAAGTTGCTCATACAATACATCCAGCACATCTATTCATGAGGTCAATGGAGAGGATCGCCTAGCCGGCGACGATGGTTTCCAGTACATTCAAAGCATACTATGAGTTTTCAATAAAGAGAATCCGACGAGTGTAGTGTCCATGGTGAGGAAAGGCAAGATGTTTTGGAGGGCGGGAATGACATTTCCGGGAGCAAGAGCAGCTGCCTAAACTGTTTCCCCGTTGTTTTTGTCGATGGATGTCACAACAAGGGAAGATGGGGGGGGTGCACACTCAATGCTGTTCTTGTAGATTGTGAACACAAGCTGGTGCGGATGGGGAGCGCATGGGTTGAGGGTGAGAATGGGGATGCATGTGGCTACTTTTTGCAGCTACTGCTCAAAGCTGTCCCAGAACTGAATTCTCCAAATTTTACACTCATGCATGACCGTGGGAAGGCATGGAAGGCAGCCAGGCTACTCATGATGCCTCTCATTCGTGAATCTTTCTGCATCACTCATATCACCCGGAATTTTAACTCGAAGTTTGGCTCAACCGTGGATGGCAAGATTGAGCTGGCTGCGCTTGCCTTAACACCGGACGTTTACAGGGGGATGATGGACAAGGTACAGATAGAGTGTCCGGGGGGGAAGGAGTATTTAGAAAAGGATGTTTTATCTCAAAAGTGGGCTGCATTATCCTACGGGGCACCACGCTATGGATGTTACTCCTCTAATCCTGTAGATTCTCACCATGCGACAATGCGTAGTGTAAGGAGGCAAAATCCTGCTCAGGTTCTCCTATCATTTATCCAAAAGGAAGCCTCTGCATTGTGTGAGATGGGGAAGACGTATGGACGGTTGAATGATGCCGATTTTCCTGCAAAAACCGCTGCCATTATTACTGAAAACCGAGAAAAGGGGATGTCGTACAGTTCGGAGCAGACAGGGCCCTTTGACCCGTTGAACGGTCACCGCATCTCGTACAAGGTGACGAGACGAAGCGGAAACGAGCAAAGGCGGGTGCTCATCGATCTTCAAGAACCAAAGAAATCGGCTTGCTCTTGCAACTACACAAGGTAAGTGCATCAATACCCTAAACTGGTGCATATCTGCGCCGCTTGTAATTGTTGGCTTCTACTCAACCACATTGACCCAAATCATTGTCGTTTTCTCTTCACCCCGTTCCCCATCTTACAGGGAGTATGGCTTGCCTTGTGTCCACCTTTTTGCGGCATTTAGTGAACATGGTACCGGTTCTGGTGCCATGGAGGTGGTGGATCGGATTTACACCCCTTCTGCTCTACGGGAAGTCTACAGCAAGGCCTTTGCTAGTTTGGACCCAACAGGTTTCTTGCCGGATGGCGAAACACTGGCGCCATCTTACCCAAAGAAGCCTGGGAGGCCACGTGATAGAAGGCTGAGGTCCCACGGTGAAGTAGATGGGAGAAAACTTCGGAAGTGTGGAAAGTGTGGTGAGAAAGGACATAATCGGCTGACTTGTGACTTGCGGGCACAACGCAACGCCATATGGGAGGCAATGCGATCGCCGCAAAGCCATCTGAACGTGCAAACAGCCACCCAAGCTGAAGCATCTGTGAGTCTTTCCGCGTGCAGCGCATGCGGTAATATGCATCGTAGAGGAGTTTTCTGCGCACCCCTGCGGCAACAGCGAGAGCAAGATGGACAAGACCAGAGAGAGACCGGGGGAGAGAGCGACACATTTTCAAATGGTGAGGAGGATAATGAGGATGAGGATGGGCTGGAGGGGGAGAACACAGAGGGTGACGAGCAGAGTGCTTCATTGGAGAATGATGTCGACAACAACTTGAATCAGCCCATGGTGGAGGTATTTGATATAACATATCCTCACATCCCTCATAGTGGTGTTGATGTCAATGAGGCGAGAGCAGGGACTTCTAGTGAAAGGAGGGTGGAGAATGGAGTTGAGGAGGAACATTCTGTTCTTGCAGAGGGAGCTCGAACGAATGATAAGCCCATGCCTGCAGCAGCGGATGCAAGGGAAAGAGGAGGGCGAAGAGGAAGGGGAGGAAGGGGGGGAAGAGGAGGAAGGGGTGAGACAGGCGAAAGGGGTGAAACGGGAGGAAGGGGAGGAAGAGGAGGAAGAGGAGGAAGGGGAGGAAGGGGAGGAAGGGGAGGAAGGGGAGGCAGAGGAAGAGGGGTTACCGCTACATGCGACACAAATGGCTTCACTGGACAAGGTGGGGTTGTAGGTGGTTCGGAGGAGCAAGGTGCTGTTCCTGCAGAGGGAGGGATGGGGGCTGGTCCTGCTCAGGGGGGGATGGGGGCTGGTCCTGCTCAGGGAGGGATGGGGGCTGGTCCTGCTCAGGGAGGGATGGGGGCTGGTCCTGCAGAGGGAGGGATGGGGGCTGGTCCTGCTCAGGGATGGATGGGGGCTGGTCCTGCTCAGGGAGGGATGGGGGCTGGTTCGCATAGGCCAGAGGCGCCGCGAGTGTGGCAAAGCGGAGGGAGGCGTGTCAGGGGAGGAGGGGGAGGAAGGGTAGGGATGAATGCACCAAGGCAGAGTGCTGGTAGTACACCAACAATCTCTGGAGTACAGCTGCGGAGTGTGGAGAGAGTGATTGGGGAACGACGGCGGTGGCTGTCACGGATGCGACAGCAATGCCAAGTGGCGCAGCAGGCAGAGGTGGATGGTGCAGTAGAGGAGCAACAAACCTACAGGCAGGATGTGTCATCAGGGGAAGGGCAGCCAGAGCATCAGCCTGTTACAGGGGTGGGCGGACACAGGAGCAGCGCAGATGGTGGGGTACACCAGGAGGAGTTTTTGCAGCAGAAAGAGCAGCAGAGGTTAAGTCGACAGCGGCGCCTTTATAAGAGGAAGCTGCAGCGCTTGAAACGGACACATGAGCAGATGGAAAGGCGCCCACAAGTAGAAGAGACTCAACAACGACGTCGTGCTAGACAAGCTTAACCCCTTTGGGAGAATGGGAATGGGGGCCAGCAGGTAAGAATGAGGCGGGTGCTCCACCTTTCCCTCTCTAAAACACTCAGTACCCCTCCTGGTTCCCCTCGCTTCCCCCCCTGCTTCCATTCATTTCACCCACCGCTTCACAAATTAGTCCTCCTTCGCGTTGGGTCATTACAGCTTGCGCTTGCACCATCACCTTTCTCATATGCCCCGTTCGCCCTCCCTTGCATTTTCTCCCTCTCCCTTGCTACTTAGGTGTATACCCTGAAGAGTTTTCATGCTTCGACGCGCCTTATCCCATCATCTATTGACATGCTTCCTGAGTAGCACTCCTTGTCCTTTGCCAATACACCGTTTTAAGTAGAGTAAGTGCAACATGCAAGCAGCATTGTACCTTTATTTAAGGCCATTGCAGGTGTCAATCTTTGACAAATTCATCTACGGTACCGTAACATTCCGGCATTGTATAGGAAAATTGTCAGCAAAACCACAGCATCCGAACATATTTATGGAATAACGTATGCTTCTCAAACAACAGAGAGAAGATAGGGTATTTTTTCAAAACGGAATATAGTGTATACACAAGCCAATTCACCGCTACAGCACAAACTAGTTGTCGCATGACACAAATTTAGTGGTGGGGGCAGCGGTGTACGGATGTGTGGGGTTTATAGCACAAGCGTTTGTTTAGCAGTACCGCACATTTTAGAAATACCAAGAAGAAATCTCCATAAGAAGGCAATGTTTGGCCTGCATCTTCAGTTCACTATATCATGCGATTGTACAGCCAATAATGCCGTATTCCAGATGAGTGATTGCTGTACTATACGACCTCTTAAAACATATGGTACGGTACCCTTCTCGTTGTCTCTCCGTCGTTTCCAGCATATGCTCAGATGGATAACAGAGACATTATTCCGAATGTGTGTGGTGGGAAGAGTAATGACACACATCAGTAGTTGCAACTTGCATGACACATTTATTGGTTGCAGAGGTAGACTTCGTTTGGATCTATAACACTATGGTAGCCTTTGTTCAGTAACCTACGGTATATTTGCGTGGCCTGCATCTTCAGGCTACAAAAAAATACAATAATTCTGTATTCAGGATAGTTTATTGCTTATATATATTCCCCCCCTTAACATACGGTACCCTTCGCGTTGTCTCACCGTCTTTCCGTCCATATCTTACGACCAAATACCGAGATACGGTACCAGTCCATATGTTTGTGGCCAAAAACTTAATGTTGGTCCCAGAACTTATATTGTGTCCTTTTTTGGCTGCATCGAGTAACAAATGCAACAGCATTGCATGTGAACCAGGGCTAACTCTAGTCAGGGAACCCGTCTGACATTAAGACCGGGTCCTGGTTGCTTGTCTGATCGTCAGACGACAGCTGTAACGATGTCTAGGCTTTCAGACAAATTTGAAGTACTTGTCTAGGCGTTCAGACGAAAATGTTAAAATAGTCCTACCACATATAATCACTACAGCTATTCATTTTAATGTAAGATCCTATTTTAAGAGGAGTAACTAGCATTACTGCTGTGAGAGAGTGGATTTAGGTGTGTGTGCGTGCGTGCGTGTCATGCTGGAGGCCTGCAGCACGTCTTGCATGCACACACATCCATGGTGGAGAGGAAGCGAGCGAGCAGCACGGAGCGTGTGGTGCATTCCATCCGTCGGACCTCCATCGCGGTGCACACATACAAATGCCGCAGGGTCCGCAGCAGCAGCATGGAGATGAGCGTCCACGGCACAGCAATGCACGCCCGATGCCACTTCGCCGCCACGTACAGGCAGAAGGGCTGCCGGCAAGTCCATGACGGGAAGGATAGCACGGGTATAGCGGGAGTGGGATGATGGTGGATGGAGATGGTAGAGTGGGTGACTGGGAGTATGGTCGGACCAACTATGTGCATTCACACGATATCCAGCTACCATGAAACACAAAACTCGCCCTAAAACCTCATCAAAATCTCCTCCCTCCATCACACCCCCCCAACCTAAGGTCCTCACTGAAGCTGTTCAGCACGCGGCCAGTGGGGTTGCGGTGGAAGAAGGCGAGCGGCGAGGCGAAGACGGATCCCAAAATGAGGAGGCATGCAGCGCCGCCGAAGTGGACGAGCAGAGAGGCAAGGAGGGAGAGGACCACGCAGGAGAGGGCGATGGCTGCCAGGGTGGCAAGCGGGTGGGGTGTGGTTTCCAGCCCAGTAACGTTGGATTGGGGGAGAGGGGAGAGAGATTAGTGGAGAGGGCCACGCAGGAGAGGGCAATAGCAGTGTCGGGCTCGTGAGGGAAGACTTTCCTCACCAGCTGACGAGGGCGTTTGAGACGTGTGCGGCGAGGAACAGGGCAGCGACGAGCAGCAGAGGCAGCCTATCTTTCTGGAGTAGCCCCAAAACACCGACAGGGGGATGGCACCCTGCTGCCATCCCTCCACGTCCAGCAGGCCTGCTGCAGGCACACACAGCGATTGTGTTGGGAGGAGGGGGGGGGGGAAGAACAAAGGGCGGGGAGGGAGGCGAAACAGTGGCAAGCGCATTAGCGCCAGGCGCATCGGCGCAATGGGCATTAGCGCCAAGCGCATTGGCGCCAGGTGCATTGGCGCCAAGGGCATTTGTGCCACTGTCGCTGGCGCGACGGGCATTGGCGCTACAGGCGCTGGCCCTGAGTCTCTCGCTCCTATGGCGTCACGGCGTGTAAGTAGACGACTTTTGAGACGTCTCAAAAGTCGTCTACTTACACGAGTCTCTCGCTCCTATGGCGTCATGGCCGTTAGCGCCACGGACCCTGGCAGCATGTGCGCTGGGCCTGCTGCTGTACCTTCACCGCCACCTGTACTGCCTGTTGCTGCACCGCCTGTGCTCCTCGTCTCCCCAGAGCCGTCCGCACTCACTACCGCTCTTGACACCCCTCCAACCCTTCCAGCCACTCCCACTCCTGCTCCTCCTGCTACTCCTGCTGCTGCACCTCCTGTCCTTCCTCCCACTCCTCCCACTCCCTCCCCTCCACCTGCCGCTTCCTCAAAGCTCAACAGAGCATCTGATTCCGCATCCGACTCCTAATCACTCTCTTCACCCCCAGCAGCAGTCTCAGAGATATTCGTCACAGTGGGGGTGAGCGGAGCAATGGAGGGAATGCGGGTGGAGAGCACGGGGTAGAAGACGAGGCCGACGGGGCAGTGGGAGGAGAAGAGCTGGTGGCACGAGGGCACAGGGACCAGGACTGTGCTGTTTGCCAGAGCTTCCACTGACCCCACCACCACTGCACGCGTGCTGCTACTGCCGGCACTGATGCTGCTGCTGGCGCTGATGCTACTGCTGGCGCCACCTAGTATGTTCCCCACACCACAGCCACTCACGCTGCTGCTTCCGCCTTTAGGAAGGCGTGGCATCCCACTGCCGACCGCACTCAGCCTGATGCTGCCCGCGCTGATCCCACTTGTGATACCCATGGCACTTGGTCCACTGCTGCTGCCACTGCCTCTGCTGCCGTCACTGCTCCCCACGTCAACAACCACAGGCGAGCAGCCTCTGCCGTCGGCTGAACCGCCACCATCCCCACCACTGCCACTGCTATTGCCGTTGGCAGAAATACTGGCAGCAGCGCCATGCAGCCAGGAGGCGGGCTGGTCTCCGTATGTGATGCTGAGAGTTGTGAGGCTGACTGGCTGCATGGAGGCTGCGAGCAGCGCCACTGTGAAATTGCGCAGGTCTGGAGAGGAGGAGAAGAGGGGTGGAGAGGGAAGGGGCACAAGAGGAAGGGGCGAGAGAGGGGGGGTCAAGCGGAGTGGGGCGGGGCGGGGGGCGTGGCAGAGGAAAAAGGGTGGGAAAAAGGAAAGGTTGAATGGCAGGAGGCGAGCTGGCCTCCATAGGTGGCGGTGAGGCTGACCGGGGTGATGGCAGTGGCGACGAGGGCCACTGTGAAGTTGCGTAGGTATGGGGGAGGAACGGGTGGAGGGTGAGGGGAACAGTACGAGCGGGGCGCGGGGAGGGGTCCTAGAGGAGGGTGGCGAGGGGAGGGGGATGTGGCAGGGGAATGGGGGGTGGGGAAAGGGGGAATGGCAGGGGAATGGGGGTAGGGGTAAGGGGGAATGGCAGGGGAATGGGAGGGGAGGGAGGTTAACCTAGAAAGATGATAGTTGCCAGCGGATGGTGACAGTTGAGAGGTGTGTCGTGAGAGAGGTGCAAGGCTTACCATATCAGATGCGAATGACGGTGTTGTTGCCCTGCTGCACGAACGTGCGGTTACCACACGCGTCCTCCTGCACGCGCACCACCACCCGCCCCGTGAGCGCCGTGGGGAGCACGTCCACTATGTACACTCGCCCCCACCGCACCTGCCGCCACGATGCATAATCGAAAACCCCGCTCTCCCGCACTCTCAGCTGGAGTGATTTCATTAGGGAGGTGGAGAGGGAGGAAGAGAGGCAGGAGGAGAAGCAGCGGTGAGGAGGGGTGAGCGCAGTGGCCCGTCGTCCTATTTGAGGTCCACTGAATCTGTGTGATCGATTTGAGAGTCGACCCAAACAGTGCCGTGGACAGCAGGTGAGGAGGACATGCACTCCACCGCCGTGGGGAGCACGTCCACTGTGTACTCTCGCCCACACCGCACCTGCCGCCATGGCGCAGAGTCGATAATGCTGCTCTCCCGCACTCTCAGCTGGAGTGGCCATCGACGAGGGAGGTGCAGAGAGGGGGAAGAGGCACGAGGGAGGGATGTGGGGAGTGCAGGGAGGGGGGGTATGGGGGCTCGCAGGATAGGGTGGGGGAGGGATGGAGGGGTGGGAGGAATTGAAACCGCCATAAGGGTTTTCTTGAGAATTCTCAAAAAAGCCATAAGGAGGCACAGGCCCAGGGAGAGGCAGAGGGGAGCTACACGAGCCACACTGTAACGGGAGGCACGGCAATGTGACTTTACCAAGGAGTGGTGGGTATGAGTGCGTGAGACTATACCGAGCAGTGGTGGGTGTGATTGCGCGTGACTATACCGAATGGTGGATGTGAGTGTGTGTGACTATACCCAGCAGTAGTGGGTGGGTGTGGATGTGAGAGTGTGGCTATATTATACCGAGCAGTAGCGTGCGTTGCAGCGGAAGGCGGGGCAGGGGCGGTTGAAGAGGATGGTGACGTGAGAGTGGTTGCTCTGCTGGGTGATTCTCGTGTAGGTCATAGTGGGAATCATGGGCGCCACAGCCACTGCACACATGTGAGGGAGGAAGGGGGGGAGCAGTGGGAGAAGGGTTGAGGTCATGCTGGGCATGACAGGCACCGCTGCTACTGGGTGACGTGAGAGCCGTTGCTCTGCTGGGTGATCCTCGTGTAGGTCATGCAGGGTCTCGTGGGCGCTGCTGCCACTGCACGCATGGGGGGAAAAGGGGGAAAAGGCGCCGAGCGCATTGGCGCCAGGCGCATCCTTCACAAAAAAATTTCCGGGGAAACTATGCTCAGTCACTGTGTAAACATTGTCCATTCAATGTCCCAGGGAGCACTGCTGGAGATTTATCATCAACAATCCTAAGGGCGCGAGCAGTGTTTTATGAGTGTCGATGATGATTGGACAAGGATACCCCCGCACGTTCGGCAAGGATTGCCTAAGCACACACAAAGCATTCTTCATACCCGATAGAGCAAAAGCCCACACGTGTGTCGAATGGTGTATCAATCACTAACCAATTCGATACAGCGCGTGGTGAAGAATCTGGCACGCCTATGATACAAACAAATTGTGACGCTAACGCAATGCGCCAAACGAAAGTGACGTCACACAAAAGAACATCTTTTAACAGCACACTCCGTTAAGGCACCATACTTTACCAGGTTTCCCACTAAAACAATAACGACAAAGTTACATCGTTACAAAGTCTTGTTGGCGCGGCATGAAACGATTATAAAATTGTCTCAGGTTTAGGGTCGCTGTAGCGCGCCGCGCTGTGTTTTGCACTGCCACCTCTCGAGCCGCGTTGCCAGGGTGGGACCCCGTGTGTCACCATCCAGGTCAGACATTTCATTCCCCTGTGTTGTTCGTGTCCTGAGTTTGATGCACGATGTGGCCCCACGAACTAATTGGATTGAACTCAACAAAGGCATAACACAGCACACACACAAGCTACCAGCCCACCCCGTACTCATCAGCAGCGGAAACAACACGAAACAAGCACAGCAGGAATTCAGATAGCAGCAGCATAGCCGTTGCGCAAGTATGACAAAAACATTACGTGCAATACGTCGCGCGCCTTCGTTCATAGCAAGGCATCACACCACCAGCGCCACGAGATGAGCCGATGTTCCTTCCCATAATTGCTACGCATCCTCCTAGGCATTGGCATCGGCATCGTCGTTGTCGCCATCATCTGCGGCCGCGGCGACCGGAAACGGGTGCAGGGGTGGAGCCAGTGGAGAAATGTCCTCGAGGCCGTCCTCTGAAATAATCACGGAACTGCCCTGGCGAAATGCCCATGCACGGGCATTAGGGTCCCACCACGGTCCACTAGCTGGGGTGCTCGCCATGATGCTCCGACGGGCCCACTCGACCACGCGGTCGTGGTACCAGCGCACCGCCTCGTCGTTCTGAGGCGCAGACCGTGGCATCTGTCCGCCGTTGATCAGCGGAAACTCCACCTGCAAGGAAACGCGGCATACATGTTTACTAGACGCCCCGTAGGCGTGACAGAAGTGTTTTACTACCATCGAACTAGAGTGGATAGTGCACGCGCACCGATCTACCACTCACCCCGTAGAGCTAGAAGGCGATGACATAGGTCCTCAGGACGAGAGGGGGTGGGCTTGCTCGGCGGAATGACTTGTAGATACCCCTCTCAAATGAGTCGGCGGCGAAGGGCAGGCCGTTGAGAACATGCCACGCGAGCAGCTGGAACGTGCCAGGCCCTGCGAATGCGGTGTTGATAAGCGATGAAGCATACAGAGGTTAGGGATAGATCGAACGTATGAAAGAGCCCGACTAGGTCATGTTTCTGAAATAAAGGCCTCCGAGAGCCGCCCAGCCTTTATGGTAGTGTGTCCGTAGGTAGTACCTGCGCGATGACGGGCGATGAAGTCCTCGCGGGAGACTTGTGGGACCCCGTTAGCAGTCATGTCCGCTGGCACCGCAACACGAGAGAAGGTCGGGGGCTCATATGGCAGCCCGTTGAGGACGTACACATACGCCCTTCCCTGCTCCCAGCGAGTGTTACGGAACACTTGCATTTTGCGGATGAACCACCCCGACCGAGCAGCGTCGTTGGTCCACACGAGGTGAAGCTGTTGACGCTGTGCCCTTGTGCGCAGACGAAGGGCACGAGCCATCGTCGCCTCGATGAGTACCGGGGACGGCCAGAATGACATGCGCCGAGAACGCGTGGCGTACACGAGCAGCTTTATCCCCTCCCCAACTGCGTCCTGAAATTGCGTTGGTAAGAGAAACAGGTGGTAAGATTCACGCATGAGTCAACGCATCCGCACGGCTATATATCGATGCAAAGGAATAACACTTTGCATCCCATACTAGTAATACCTTCAGGCCATTCAACAGGCCAGGGATAAACTTGTCCGTGAGTTCAAGATTGTCCGCCCATATCACCAGCTGTTCGGTAGGAGGGCCATGCCTGCCGCGCACAATCGCCGTCTCCCTAGCGAGGGCCTGTGCCACGAACTGGGTGTACACGCGATCATGCTGCGGACCAGGGCCGCGTTGCTCGACAGTCGGGTTGCTCTCCCGTGTGCGCTGGCGAGTCGTTGCTGGCGCCACGTTGCGCTGTCCTTGGGTGTCAGCATCCCCTTCCGTCCCGTTTCTGTTCCCCGTACGCCGTGCCTCGCGGAGCCGGGAGTTGAGGTATACTATCTCGCGCTCGCGGGCGCGAAGGCGTGCAGCCATTGCCGCGTTCATGGCCGGGGCTGGTGCAGGCGCTGCAGCAGGAACGTTGACGCCCCCAGTGGCGGCCACGGTGGGGCCACGTCCGCCTGACGCGATGACGACGGGAGTCACTGGTGCCGCATGGCTCAGGGTGGTGACTGAGCGCTGCCTCGATCGCGCCGCTGTCCACATGAAACATCGAAGGCAGCATGGTCAACAATCTTGCGTAACAGCCACCGAAACTCAAGCGTGCATATAACTGACCCTGAAACAGCAACCCCATACTAACCTTCTGCGTCCTCATCGACGAGTTCGGTTGGGGCAACTTCCGACGGCTCGCCCACGTCCTCATCTTCTTCCTGATTGGCCGCCCACGTAGCGTAACCCGTGTCATTCTCTGTGTTGTTCATTTCATCGTCTGAATCATCGCCAGGTGATGTTGCGCGTCCGGTGCGTCCAGAGTTGACACGCGAGGCGGTGCCGTAGTAAACCATGTCCCGGTCAGCTGCTCTTCGTCCCGCGTTCAACCTACCCGTTCGGCGCATCGGTTCGTAAGGTGACCTTGCCGACTCCATGCTTAGAAAGCATCAACAATGCCAACGTTGTTCGGGGTGAGTGTGATGAATGTTTCGTTTGGGGGGCCTTTATATAGAGAGCTTACGAGACAGACGGTACCGTTAGTTCTGAGCTGTGGTCCCGGGGACACGTAACGCTACCACCCTCAGAAACCCTTGCGTCTAATCCAGGCACATCCACCAACGATAATTCTATCCCCCCCTGCATGCGTGTATACGCGTCACCACTTACCCCCACTTACGTAAGCGCTTCGTGCGCTGACGAGTTGGCGCTAGCGTTGCGTCACGCCCATTTTTCGGCATCCTCTGGAACCATGCCATGCCATCCCACACGCTCGATTCTCGCGCTGTCAGGATATTTGTGATAAGATTGGCCAATGTGCGACGACTCATGGCACGTGCGTGCGTGACGGTGATGGCGGTCTGGAACGCACGAGTTGTGTTGCCGTGCTGGACGTACTATCCCAACGAGCGTGTAAGTAGTTACTAACTTCCAGTAGTCGGAATAGGACATACTCTGTTTATATCATGTATGGTTTGTTTAATACACAGATTGGCTGTACATCCTTTTCATATATTCATTTCCCCTCACCAAAAAGCACTCTCATTTCACCTGGCAGGTGAGGACCATAGCATCCCGCGAAGTACGCATTGAGTACGACCCTAAGGGTGTACATATGGACAGTGCTCGTCGGTGCAGTCCCTGTTCAGGCACCAGTCACGATCTATTTTGAAGTGGTCGTATTCCTGTGAGACTAGCCTGAACACCACCGGCCCCTCGCAAATAGTAGGCACCTCCCAAGGAAATTTGCAGTAATGCCAGTCCCTGGTGCAGAGCAACGATCCTCGCGCCTCACGCGGAGGTATTTCCCACCACGCCATCATGCCAAGCGCGTGCGCAAGCACCCCCGCTCCCATACCATTATCACCGCCAATGTGAGACCCCTGCTGAAACTTGTCTGGTATACGGCCCAGAAGTTTTGCGTGTTTGAAGTCCTCACGCGCGTCTGGAGCCCCAACATAGTTGTAAAACCCTCTGTCGAGCTGCATGTTTAGGAAAGCCGAGCGTGGCGCGGGTTCAACGATAAAGCACAGGTCAGGACGTACCAAAATCCAAACGACACGCATCAAGCATTACACAAGTGGCTCACAAAGGGTTAAAAAGTCGTTAAACACAAGGCCTAACAGAAACCTTACCACCCATCCTTCCGAATGCGCGAAGTCCATGAGGTATTGACGAAAATCCATGCTTGGCGGCTCAGTGGCCACCATTTCGTTGCCATTCTTGGCCTTGACATTAACGCCACGGTACCCCGATGCGGCAAGCTCCACAAACGCCTTAGCACGTTCGCGAACGGGTGCAGGGTCCCTGTCGTCGTTGAAAACGGCCTCAATGATGCGGAGGTCAAGGTATGGCAGTTCAGCATCGTGCTCAAGCCCACGGAAGCCTCGGAGATTGTCCTCAGAGATGCGTCGCAGCTTCCAAGCAGCGGCGCGGCTTGGAGTGACCAGGTGCAGAATGCTGTCTGCTAGTTTTTTGGGAGTCAGTTGCTCGTCACTCGCCAGCAGTCGTGAATATTCGGCTTGCATAACAGCTGCAATGTCGGGGTAGTCGCGCACGAACACGTGAATGTTTCCAGGCCTGGTTTTGGCAGTCCTTGTGTGCGGCCACTCTGGGCCCTGGTACTGGCTGTACGGCTCGGTGTTGTCCAGGTCGCGTGCGCACCGCCAGCGTCGCTTGTGGTTGTTCACGGTTCCCGAAACGAACTTGGACGCAGAGGATGCCATAGCTAAAAGTGGGTAGGAGTATGAGAATTTGGCGAAGACAAAGGTGTAGTACTACGGGAAGTCACAAGCACAAAATGCGGTCTTGTGCTGGAAGCTACAAGCATGGGAAGTCACAGCGTGTCTCTCGCGTGACTCGTTATTGCACGACACGCTGAGGAGTACACCAGAGGGGTACACGTCTGGTGTAGAAACAATAAGCACACATGAAGATTGGTATTTTTTCCAAATATCGGTTACACGCGTGGTGAGATGTCACAGCACTTCCCGAAATGATTGTGACAGTCATCTGAAACCCTGACCAAGTCATGGCACGCAATTCGTCACGCACGAAGTCGTGTCCTTCAATGCAGGACATAGTATCTAGATTTTTAGGAGGCGGCGGGCTGGAGTACGGGCCAGTCCAGTCATCTGGCACAAACAACGATATCTGCTATACGCCTTAGAAGCCCGATGCGTCTCATCGTCGACTTGACATTGGTTAAGCCGACGTGGCGACAGATTGACATTCACCGTGATTCGTCACTAATATACAGCGCGACGTTGCTAGTAAGACTGCAAGATCAGGCACGGGGCGCGGAGCTTAGCGCGGCTTAGGAGATGGCAGGCATCTTCAGGCGATTGGCTCGTAACCTGCCTGCCGAAACGACTGAGGCAAACGGTATAAAAATGCCTCTGATGATGTGCATTTCATCAAACGGAGCATGCGAGGCGTTCTGCTGTGATGCCGCCTGTGTCTTACCTTTTCGCATGTGAATGGTGCCTCGAGCACTTCACGCAACGCACAGCGCTGGTAGCGCACAAGCTGCACAGTCAAGAATGCCGAGCACAACGCAGGCGGTACCTTTGTTTCCTCCGAAGCCACCCCTTCGCTGACATCAATGACTTTTTTGGCTCAGCATCTCCAAATGCCGAAGACGAGCCGACCTCGGATTTTTGGCTCGGCATCTCCAAATGCCGAAGACGAGCCGACCTCGGATGCTGAAGATGAGGGCGACATGGAGGAGTTGAGCCCATTAATTTTAAATGTTGCATGCCGGACGTTTAACAGGTTTCGGGCTCGCACTGCCCGCTTGTGAATAGCAGACTCAATATGGTCACATGTTATTCCGTTTCCGTGCAGGGCACTGAAGCTCAACACCCTGGCGGTACAGACACCAACGACGAAGTGCAGTCGGAGGATGAGTCCGACTACGAGAGCGACTTCGACGATGGTGATTCTACCGATGCCGATGATGACGCGAGCGCCGTCGACGAGAACGAGTTCAACACGGCCTTGGAGTTCTTCCGCTTCGTCATCGGGTGCAATGGCGGCCAAGGCCTCAGTGACGAGTCCACTACCTGGCTTTTCAAGCTACTGTGCGACCCACGTCTGGATCTGGAGGCTATTCGACACATGCGTACCAAATACGCCATGCTTCAGTACGGACTTCGCCTCATGATGGCGAGGCGGGTGTACAGAAAGGTGGAAGTGCGTATTCCAGGTGTCGACCATACCTTCGAGCTAATGTGTACGAGCCCTATCGAGGTACAACAAGCAATCTATGTCCGCCCTTGCCTCATTCCGCCCTTGTTGTCTCTGTCCTCCCTTGCATCGTTCCGCCTTTCCCTCTGTGCGCACTTGCATCTGTCCGCTCCTTGTCTCTGTCGCCCTTGCCTCATTCCGCCCTTGTCTCTGTCGCCCTTGCCTCATTCCGCCCTTGTCTCTGTCCGCCTTGCCGCATGTCGCACTTTGCCTCTCTCCGCCTTGCAGCATTCCGCCCTTGCCTCTGGCATTCCGCCCTTCCGCCCTCTGTCCGCCCTTTCATCTTTCCGCATTTCCCACTGTCCGCCCTGTGTGCGCACTGTCAAACTTATATGCTATAGTCTTTCTAGGCTGTAGTGGGGTAGACAGTATGGGGTACATCTTTCTAGGGTTTCATATTTGTACCCAACTCATTTCCTAGTTCATTCATTCTCGTTCTAAAGTTCTCACATGATATCAGAGCAGGTTCCCTAGTGGGAACGCTTCCTAGGGCCCACCACTGAAATTCAATTATTTATTTTTCTGCCTGGAGCGCGAGTCGCCCCTGCCCGAGGCGCGCCCCGTGGGCCGCCCTGCCGTCGCGTCGTGCCCTCTTAGAGGCCCCTCTCACGGCCCCTCGCGTCCCCTTAGCGGCCCCGTCGCCGCCCTTAACGGCTTCGTCGCCGCCCTTTGCGGCCCCGTCGCCGCCCCTCGCGGCCCCGTCGCCGCCCATTGCGGCCCTGTCGCCGCCCTTGCGGCCCCATCGCCGCCCTCGGCGGCCCTGTAGCCGCCCGCAGCGGCTCAGTCGCCGCCCGCAGCGGCCCCGTCGCCGCCCCTCACGGCCCCGTCGCCGTCCACAGCGGCCCAGTCGCCGCCCGCAGCGGCCCCGTCGCCGCCTCTTACGGCCCCGTCGCCGTTCTTCGCGGCCCCGTCGCCGCCCTAGCGGCCCCGTCGTCGCCCTCAGCGGCCCCGTAGCCGCCCGCAGCGGCCCCGTCGCCGCCCGCAGCGGCCCCGTCGCCGCCCTCAGCGGCCCCGTCGCCGCCCGCAACGGCCCCGTCGCCACCCCTCACGGCCCCGTCGCCGTCCTTAGCGGCCCCGTCGTCGCCCTTCGCGGCCCCGCCGCCGCACCTCGTGGCCTCGTCGCCGCCCTTGCGGCCCTGTCACCGCCCTTCGCGGCCCCGTCGCCACCCCTAGCGGCCCCATCGCCGCCCCTAGCGGCCCCGTCGCCGCCCTCACCGGCCCCGTCGCCGACCTTTGCGGCCCCGTCGCCGCCCTTCACGGTCCCTCCCCGGCCCCAGCAGCAGCAGCGGCCACTTTTGCCGTGCAGCCGCCGCCGCTACCTACTGCCGAGACGCAGCCGCCGCCGCCGAGCCGCAGCCGCCGCCGCCTTCGAGCCGCCGCCGCCGTCGGGCCGCCGCTGCTGTCGAGCCGCCGCCGTTGAGCCGCCGCCGCAGCTGCCGCCGCCGTCGTCACTGCTGTCGCGGCCTTGTCCCTGCCGACGCGCCTCGGCCCTACCCACCGCCTGGTAAGCGCACTCCTGAGCAGAGCCTCTGCCACTGCACTGCATCTACCCTACTGCTCTCAATGCTAGCCTACTGCTGTCATGGCTACCCCTAGTGTTCTTACCTTTGATGCTGAGGGTCGGGCTGTCGACTTCGAGGTCTGGGTCGATGATCTGCAG